TTTCTTTTTTTCTTTTTATTTATTGTTTTTATTATTGTCCAATTATGGTTGTCCCATTACTCTCCCCGCCCTACCCACCCCCACCTTCCACATTCAATCCTCCCCCTCCCCCTCCCTGCCCATTGTTTTTGTCCCTGGGTCCTTTATTCAGGAAACGTTTTCTGAACTCACCTTCTGCATTGGCTTGTGGGCCCTGGGGACACAGAGAGGACCCTGGTAGGCCCCCTCTCCAGGAGCTCCCCACCTGGTGGCAGATCAGGCTGCTATCCCAATGGCGGTGGCCCAGCGCAGTCCCGGGCTTTGGGCAGCTGGAGGAGGGAAATCAGGGCAGTCACCCCAGAGGAGGTGATGTGGACAGTGATTGAAAAAGGAGGCGTTTGGCAGGTGGAGTCAGGGTGGGTGAGACGTTTCGGGTGAAGGAAGCAGGAGAGAGCCTGGTGCTGGAGAGGCCAGGAGGCAGCACCACCCAATGGGTGAGACCGCTGGCTCTGGAGTGGGGTCCACCCGGATTTAAGTCTCAGCTTTGACGCTTCCCAGCTCCGGGAACTTGAGTCTTGGTTTCTCTAAAATGAGGAAGATAATACAAATCTCTTCAAAGATGACTAGAATTACATATGACAATGTACATCCCGTGCCCAGAGCAGGGGCTGCCCAGAAGCACTCAGTAATTGTCATCTCTGAACGCAAGGCGACAGGTGGCCAGAAAGAGATGGGGCTGGAGGACCTTGGGGACCTGGCCTTGGAGCTGCCTAAAAGACAGGGGCGCAGAGAGTGGGTGCCGGGTCCTGAGTGGGGGGCGGGTACCAGGGGACCGAGAGAGCCAGGAAGCTTTGGGCCAAGGGTACCGCCACCTCCCCTCCCACCTGGCCCACACACCCAGCTCCTGCGGGCCTGAGCCTCCTGGGACGCGGAAACGGTGCGCTGAGTAACATGAGCCCAGTGGCCTGGCACCGCAGGCTGTCTTTACTGGGCGGGCGAGGGCCTCCTCTCCCTGGCACTTGCCGGATGCTCTGATGACCTAGTTGGCAGCTATGTCCATGTTTGGCTGAAAACAGGAACTTCTGCCTCACTGAGGGTCTCACCAGATGAGCAAACACCCCTGTTTTCCAGGAAAAGGGGTCAGGGGCCTGATGGGCTCCCACTGGATGGGAGGTTGGCTAAGCCCTGGGCCCAGCTCAGCTTTAGGCCTTCGCTGAGCACTTACTGTGCATTAGGGCATTGACTCACATGCTCTCTCACTGCCCAGCCCCATCCATGGAACAGGAATTTCAAATTTTCCTTTGGAGAATAAGCGCTGGGAGCAGGAGTTGAGAGGTGAGAGGTTACAGACCAGAGAAGAAACAGGGTTGGAGAAATTTCCCAGATGCTTGGGAGGGGCGGCGGGAGCATCATTAAGCTGGAACTTGGGGGAAAGGAGGATGGCATCTGCAGAGGAGGGTGTCTGGGTGTCAGGCAGCTGAGATGGGGAGGAGGGGCCACACCAAGACAAGCACAGGGGCCTGCGAAGTAGGGGTCGGAGGAGAGCCATCCATGCTCTCTAGACTCTGCATCAGAGACCTTTGCCTGCCCCCACCCCATGTGAGGTGGCCTTGTCTCCTCCCCCAGACCTCACAGCCCACGCTCTCACCCTCCAACTCCCTTCTGGGAACCAGGAATGCTTCTTCTGGACCCTCTTGGTTCTTCTTCCGAGGCCAACCTTGAACTGCAGCCCGGCTGCTCACTCTCCAGCCCCTGGGAGACCTGGAGTACTCTAGCTTGGGAGGCCTTGGGGTATCTGGGTATCAGGGCTGAATGCTCAGAAGGGGCTGGGGCTGGAGATAGAGATACGGGCACCGTCAGAGCCGTGGGCTGGGTGGCTATGGCAATGAGGGCGATGGCATTGCCAAGGGAAGAGGGCCTGTGACAGGAGTCCTGGTGGTCACCATTCTGACCGTTCAAGGCAGATGAACACACAGCGGAGCCTGAAAAGGAGTGGCCCAAGAGGAAGGTGAAAAACAGGTGGGGTCCCCGATCCCGGGAGAGTGTGCCAAGGGGCGGGCCTGGGTGTTGGGGAGGAGAGGAATGAGGGGCCCCCTGCAGCAGAGAGGTCAAGGGGGTACGGACTGAAAAATGCGCTGAGTTTGGCAAACGACATTCTCGGTGACCTTAGCCAGGCCAGTGTGGGGCTCTGAGGGGAAGGGAGGGAGAAAGAGAGGGAGGGAAACATTGATGTGCAAGAGAAAGATTGATCGGTTGCCTCCCACACACCCCCAACTAGGAACCTTGCCTGCAACCTAGGCATGTGCCCTGATAGGGAATTGAACCAGTGACCTTTTAGTTTCTAGGACAACGCCCAACCCACTGAGCCACACCAGTCAGGGCATATTTTATCAAGAAGTTTACTTGTGAAGTAGGAGAAGAGCAAAGTGGTTTATGGATCTTTCACTATTTTTAAGATGGGCATGGCTTGAGCTCAGCTAAAGTTTGAGAGGAAGAAACTTCCTCTCAATGAGATCAATGAGATCAATGGGGATCAACGAGAGAGGGAGGGCTGAGCAGAGAGGGATGTGGGGAGCAATGAGAGAGGAGGGGATGAGGACCCCGAGGGAGGGGCAGAGGGGGTGAGCACAGAGAAAGGGCCAGGAGTGTAACTACTGACAAACACCATTTTCTCAGTGGTGGGGTGGGGAGCAGGGTTTGTTGCATGTGAAGGGACATGACTGGGACCAAGGCCCTGAGGTCCAGAGTGGCGATGACCCAGAGTCTCAATCTCCCACCCAAAAGTCCTGTCTCCCCAGTGCTGCTCCATGAGAGCTCAAAGACCGTAATGGGAGCAGGAGAGGGCAGGGTTCAAGTCGATGCGATGGTGCCGAACACCCGAAGCAAGGAAGAGGCTGGCAGGCCGCACTGTTTCTCCAAAATCATTCTTTAATACATTCACGTGGGTTATACAAAGAGCTGGTCCCAAGGCCTGGGCTGCGGCCCGGCCCCTGGGAGGTGAGAGCAGCACTGTGTAGTGTTTTCAAAGATCAGGCACAGAGGGGCCCACACCTGCCCCTAAGCCTGAGAAAGAGTGTTTGTGTGCGGTGAGCACCTGAAGTCATCATCCCAACCAGGACTGGGTCCCCTGAGCTGCTCCTCAGGCCCCCAGAGCCCCAGATGGAGCCAGGACTCCAAGTTCCAGCCCTAGCTCTACCATCAACTCCCTGAGTCCTTGACCATCTCTGGGCCTCAGTTTTCTCATCTGTAAAATGGGGCAGAGAGAGCGAAGGTTTCCTTATCTCACACTTTACCCAGCACTGTCCTGAGCCAGGTCGCTGCCCAGCACGGGGTCCTGGGCTGACCCCAGGGCCTCCTTTCTTCTGGACAGCCCATGGTTCCATGGGTATGAGGGGCAGAGGGTTAGATCTGGATGGTTTTTTACCCATTTTTCGAAAGGGGGAACATTCCTGCATGATGAGGACCAGAGAGAGTGTTTAGAGCCAGCATTGTCTTGAGATGTGACAGCTGAGAGAGAAGGAAACCACTCAGATCCAACCCCAATCCCCACCCCACCCCTCAAACACACCCCCAATGAGGTCTGAATCCACTTTTTCCTCAGAGGCTCTGCCACTGACTTGTGCCATCTCTGAGCAAGTCCCTTCCTCTTCCTAAGCCTCAGTTTCCCTATCTGTACAATGGGCAGGTGGGACTCAGTGATCTTACGCTCTAGGCTGTGCTCACTGGACAATGGGAATGAGAGCATGCAAGAGCAAGAAGAGAAAAAGGAGAACCCACATCAGTCTGCAAAGGAAGGAACGAGGGAAATCAAGGCAGAGGAGGAGGAGAGGGCCTGTAGCTGCCGGGCTTCTCTCTGCCTGCCTGGGCAAGGAGGGAGAGGAGCCAGCGGGGACAAATAGCTCAGGATGCTCCCAGGCCCTGTTCCAGCAGTGGGGGTCACTTCCTGTCCACCTGACAGCCTGCAGCCCCCGCAGTGGCAAAGCTCAGCCCCCAGGGTCAGGATGATGTGAGTCTGAATCTCAGTTAAGGCATTTCTTAGCTAGGGCACCCTGGAGGGACACCTGGAGCCACTTGTATAAAATGGGAATAAAGACCAGCCTCAGACGGTTGTCATAAAGAGGCAGATGCGGGCTTGGGTTTGTTACAGCTGCCAAGCCTGGTGCAAAACAGAACCAGAGAGCTGAGGCTCCAAGTCCCATCTCCCCCACCAGGGAGGGACTGGGGTGCAGCACGGAGTGGGGGCTAGGGCTGTATTTGGGTGGTGTGTGCAACACTAGAGTGCCAAGTGGGGAAAGAGCCTGTCCAGAGCAGGAAACGGAAGGCACCAGTGCTGGCCAGAGCCCAGGCGACAGCCTCTTAGCCCGGGCCTGCTGGAGCCACGGCCTGCCTAGTAGTGCGGGATCCAAGGCGCACTCGTGTGGCTCCAGTTCTCTTCCAGCTGCAACTTCTTCATGTTCCAGAGAAGCTGAAAGTCATTGTCAGAAGATGTGACAAATAGTCTACTTGGAAGGATCTCAGACAAAATCCTCTTGGTCTCTCCCTTCCCGGGCCCTGGCCTGGCAGGGGCAGGACTCTTCGCACTCAGCTTGCGCTGCCGAGCTTTGGAGCCCTGGGCCTCACTCTCTGTGTGGTCGCGACACAGTTCTGCGCCCCCTCCCCACCCAGGCTGGGAGATGCTTGAGGACAGGGATGTGTCTCCTTCACCAGTGTCCCCACTGCTCAGAGCAGGGTGTGGCACAAAACGGATGTCTGGCGAAGATTTGTTGATCCGATGGGTCATCCTCGTTCTTTGTCGCTCCCAATACTGCTCAACTTCCAGCTTCCACAGCTGGACCACATGTGTGGCCTGGGACATGGGTCACCTATCAGTGCAGCAGGATGCAGAGAAAGCAACCCTGGGCTGGGATTTAGGGACCAGGGTTCTGGGACCCTGGCCCACTGTGTGACTCTGGGTCAGACCTCACCCTTTTCTGTGCCTCCAGCACCCTCACTGGCCTGGAAGTGTCTCCCGGCTGAGGTGTTCTGCAGCCTGGCTTCTCTAGGCTTTGTACTGTTGGTTGAACTTCTGCTGGCGGACACAGCAATAGGTGGCCAGCATGATGAGGACAATGGCAGAGACAAGCGCCAAGGTGACAATGATAATGAAGTTGACATTCTTGAGCCCTCCTTTCTCACAGTCCTCGGGACGCACGTGGCTAAGGAACACCTCCTCCTGGGAGCTGAAGCGGCAGATCAGGTCCTGGGTGGCATCCATGTCCACACGGCCCTGGTGCAGCTGGGCCGCCAGCCAGCTATTGCCGCAGCAGCTGAGCGGATTCCCCTGCAGGTAGAGACACCGGAGGCTGGTCTCCAGGGCGCCCATGGCACTGCTCGGCAGCAGGCTGAAACTGTTGTTCCTCAGGTCGAGCACTTCCAGGGACACAGCCTGCGTCCAGGCCGGCAGGCGGCTCAGGCGGTTCTCGGCAAGATTGAGCTTCTTGAGGCAGCTGAAGCAGGGCAAGTCTACCTGCAGGACCTCCAGCCCGTTGCCCTGCAGGGCCAGGACCTCCAAGGAGGCCTCCAGGCCCGCCAAGGCCCCTGTGGCCACATCCAGCCCAGGGTTGGAAGAGAGGTCTAGCTCGGTAAGTGGTGTGTGGAGGAAGGTACCTGCCCAGAGTGTCTCCATCTCATTGTCCACCAAGTTGAGGACACGGAGGGAGGCCATGTCAGAGAAGTCCACGCAGCCCGGGGGTTCAGGCCCGCCTGGTCCCCCACAGGGGCTCACCCGGTTCCCCTGCAGGTTAAGCCTCTGTAAGCTGGCCAGGCCAGCAAAGGTGTATGGGGGCAGGTCCCGCAGGGCATTGCCCTGTAGGAGCAGCGTCCGCAGAGACCCCAGGGCTCTGGTGCCCAGCTCCAGTGTCTCCAGTGCATTGTGGCTGATGTCCAGGAGCACGAGGCAGGGCAGGGAGCCTGCACTCCGAGCCTCAAAGGCCCGCAAGCAGTTTCGGCTGAGGTTCAGGAAGCGCAGGGAGGTCAGGTGATCAAGAAATCCCTCGGGGACAATCTCAATCTCATTGTAGCTCAAGTCCAGATTCAAGAGCTGGGAGAGGGAGTGGGTGCTGGCATTCCAGCTGGGGTTCGAGAGGGGCAAGGCTGACCAGCCCTCGGAAGGTGCTTGGATGGCCTTGCCGCCCTGCGCTGACCCCGCAGGGAGCCGGATGAGGTTGTTCGACACGTTCAGGTAGATGAGTCTCGGGAGGGCGGCCAAGTCAGGCAAGTGGAGCAGTTTGTTTTCCCGCAGGTCGAGCCAGGTGAGCTGGTACCCGGCCTGGGGCTCTGGGGCCATCTGAAAGGCCTCGATACTGTTGCAGCTCAGGTCCAGCACCCGCAGCTGCTGGAGGCTGAAGTCGGAGATGCAGGTGAGTGAGTTCCTGGACAGGTTGAGGTGGGTCAGACGGGGCAGGGCCTCGAAAGCGCCGTCCTCAATGTCCATCAGCACATTGCTATGCAGGTCCAGCCACTCAAGGGCAGGTGTGCCCCAGAAGGTCTGGCGGGCAAGGCGGGTCAGGCTGTTCTCTGCCAGCGTGAGGGTGCGCAGGGCTGGCGCCTCCCCCAGCAGCTGCTCCACCAGGCCAGTGTACAGGCTGTTCCCAGACAGGTCCAGGGACTTCACGTGCAGCAGGGGGCCCAGACCACCTGTGCTCAGCGCCAGGTGGTTGTGGGCCAGGTTGAGGTACTCCAGGTGGGACAGGGCCTGGAAGACACCTGGTTGGAGGAAGCTGATCTCGTTGGAGCTCAGGTCCAGGTGACGAAGCGCTGTGTAATAGCCCAGGGGTGAGGTCGGGATGCGCCGGAGCTGGTTTTCAGACAGGTCAAGGGCCTCGATGTCTCGTGGGAGCACCGAGGGGACCTGGAATAGGCCAAGGAACTGGCACAAGACCTCCTTGTTCACCTGGGGAGGGGGCAGAGGGGAGAGCAGCAGGCATGAGTGGTTGCAGTAGGAGCTGGAATCAGACACGTGCCTCTAGGAAGGATGACTTGAGCCCATCCTGCTCCTACCCCTGCCTCTGGCACCCCATACAGCACTGGCATCAGGGAGGGACCCAAGGAGCTTTTGACAGGTAGACAGACAGGTGGCAGAAAGTGAGAAGGACAAACAAACAAAAAAACAAAACAAAACAAAACAAAAAACGCTGTGCTGATCATTACCCCATTTTATAGGAAACTGGGCCACAGACCATCCAGAGTGACCCAGAGCCAGTGAGGAAAAGAGCCAAGCTGGGACCCAGGGCTCCTGGTTCCACATCCTGAGTTCCTTCTATGGACCCAGGTCGTTAAACTCACCCAGCTGGTGTTACACTAGAGTAACCCACTTTGGGGAAATTGTTTCCAAAACGGAGAAATGCGATTTGCCCTCTTGTCATCAGTTTTGTCTCCCCTCCCTCAGACCTCATTCAAGCCTCATTCCATAGGGCCCAGCTCTGGGTCCAGAGGCTGCATCCTCAGTGACACCGCCAAAAAGTCTCCTCCTTTATGCTGCTGTTCCCTACCCCCGCTCCCCACCAGTGGCTTCACTACCCACCAGCCGGTCCGTGCCTGCCCCTGGAGATGGGGTAACAGTAAGGGGCAGGAGGAGAGACGGCCAGGGTCCCAACCCACATTCTTTAAGGACAAGGTTATGATTTTGCTATGTGAGCCTCATCAAGTCACATTATCACTCTGGTTTCTTATCCAAAGCATAAGTCATCCTTCCCCAGCACCTACTCAGCGTTGTCTCATTGGATCTTCACAATAGCCTGCCCATCAATATGATCAGACCTATTTAAGAAGCCCAAGCTCAGAGAGGGTAAGGGAGGTTCTGACATTACCCAGCTGGTGAGGCACAGACCTGGGTTTTGAATCCAGGTCTCTTAATAACCAAATGCCCCACTTTTGTCCTTCTATCCCACGTACTTTCTGGGGCCAGAATTCTTTGCATGTAAATGCAGTCTTCCTCTCATCTCGTCCCAGGAACCCCAGCCTTTCCCAGTGGGTCTGACTTCTACCGCCACCCAGCCAGGCCCACTCCTCCCCCAGCCTCTGTCTTCACTGACCCCTTCCGACCAATCTGCCAATCAAATGCCTGGCAGCTGCTCAACAATTCCACCCTGACAGTGCTGCCCTCTGCTTGAATCCCTCCAGGACAAACTCCAGGACTCTCAGCAGGGTTCAAAGCTCTTTGTGGCCTCTGACACACTGTCCTCTCTCCTCCCAACCCACTCTGGCCCAGCCCCCACACAGCGACCACACCTGACGACTGCCCATTGTACCCCCCACCCCCGTCCCCACCTCTGGGCCTCCTCCCTGCTGTTCCCTCTGCTGGTTATGCCCCTCCCATAAGGAACTGCATGGTGAACTCTGCATGCTGAGCTTCAGCGGTCTCCTCTACCAGGAAGCTCTCCCTGACTGCTGGCCAGGTCAGGGCTTCCTCTGGGTTCTCACAGACTCTGTGCTTCCTCTCTCATAGCTTTGGCCCCTGCATTGTGGCTGTCTGTGTAGGAACCTACTAGGCAGGTGAGCTCAGAGCAAACAGGGACTGGTTTGATTGATGTGAGTGCCTTGGATTTGGCCCACAGAAGGTGCTCAGTAAGTTTTATTTAATGAATGAAAGAGTCACAGACATCATCAGATTGAGGTACTGAGTCAATCACCTTTCTAAAAGGAAAGAAAAGGGAAGATCCATATATTCAGACTAAAATCAAAGACTTTAGCCCACCCAATTCCCAGATGGGGAGACCAAGCTTAAAGATGGCAGTAACCTGTTCGAGGTCATGGTGAGTCAGTGGCTAAGCTAGCAGGGCAGGAACACATGCCTGGAACACTTCCCAGCCTAGCTTCCCTTCCAGACCCCCAAGGTGAGGTTGGGATGAGAATGGACCGCCCTCCAGCAGGCACCTGTGTGCCTCTTCCTACTCCCGGCAGCACGGTGACTAGCCTGCTCAGAGGCCCAGGGATGCGCCTGCAGTTGAGCACCCTTGTAAACCAGAAACCTAGCCCAGCCACCTTACCAGTCCTGCCTAGCTCCTTGTCCCTTCCTCCCTCACAACCTCTCAGCCAGCTGGGCCACCAGACATGGTCTCCTCATCCTGTCCTTGCTCCCAGACTATCCCGATTAAAGAAGGAACAGCAAAAGGAACACAAACACAATGACTGTCTCTAACTGTGGAGCGCTGGCTGTGAGTCAGACTTGTGCTGAATGCATAGATTCCTTGCCTCATTTAATCTTCTAAGGCATATTTACCCCATTGACCCCCTAAGGAGACTGAGGTTTGGTGGGGGGTGGCTGCCCCAAATCAGATAGCCAGAGGCTCAAAACTACCATCGCAAGTTCCTTTCCCTATTGGTGCCCACCAAGTTCTGAGCACTGGGCCCTCAGCTGGCTGAACACCCGGTTGAGTCCTTCAGCACAGTAAATAACACCAGCCACCGCCTCCTGGGCATCTACTGTGGTGGGGAGGGGGCACTGTCCTGTGCATCCCTCGTCATCCTACAGGCAAGCCCATACCTCGCTTCACCCCTGGATACTCAAAGGCTCCCTGGACCACCAGCCCCTGAAAGTTGAGTCAGGGTGCAAAACTGGCCAAGCCCTGAGGCTCAGACTTGCTTTCTGGAAACCCTGGTGCCCAGGACCCCTGAGGAGGCCGCTGGCAGGCAGGGCTGCTCTGGGCTGCCCGGCGCTCCAGAAAGCCCTCTACCCGCTCCCTGGGATGCCAGGATGCCACTGCCCAGCTTCTTTTTTTTTTTGGAGGGAAATGGACTTCCCGCCTAACTCCGTTTTACCACCTGCACAGAGAAGAGAAGCAGGGCAGTAAGAGTCACGGGCAGTAGACAGCATAAGCTCTGAAGGGCAGGGTTCTAATACAGCTCTGTTACTTCCTATCTGTAGACCCTGGTAGGTCACATCTCTTCTCTCAGCCCCGGTTTCCTCAGCTAAAAAGAGGAGTTCTGGGCAGGAGAAGAGGAAGAAAGCCCTCAGCATATTGCAGGTACCTTGGAAGCCCTCAGAAAGTGGCAATTTTTTTTTTTTTTTTTTTTTTTTTTTTTACCATTTAAGCAATCATCATAATTCTTTCTGTAGTCATCCAGAAAGTACTTTCCTGCCTATTATCTCATTTTTCCCCAATCCGAAGCTCACCCAGTTGGGCGGCCCAGGCCCCTCACTCCGCTGAGCCTGTCTCCCCAGGTAGAATGTGGGGCTGCATTTGGTGGTGTCTGAGACCTTCTCTGCCTGCTGTTGTGGGTCCTGGGCATCTCAGAAGGGCTCTTAAGGCAGGAAGAGAGGTGAGAAGAGCAGGACACTGAACCCCAGGGAAGGGCTGCCGGGCCCTGGCTGCCAGCACATCCAGCCTCCCGGAGCAGCCGCCCATTCTGTCTCATAAGCTTCCAGTTCCAGGTCCAAGCGCAGATGCCAGAGGGCTGTCCCTTCCCCAGCACAAACTCCTACCTTTACCTCAGTGGCTGCACAGCCTTACAAGCAGACCTAGGTGCCCCCTTTTCCCTGTACCTTAGAGGGGGACAGTAACGTTGGGGCTAATCTCCCTGGCGTGGGGCAGGAAAAAGGAACAAAGTGAATCAAACCTGGTTCCTGCCCTCAAGAAGTTCTTGGTCTAACCCATAAGACAGCCTTGGGCCCATTTTTCAACTACACCATGAGCTCAGTACTGAGACAGAGGAAAGCCTGGGGCTGTGGAAGCCCAGAGAAGGGAACACACTGAACCAGGTCAGCCTGAGATTAAAAGAGGCTTCCTGAAGGAGGCAGCATGTATTTGACCTGGGCAGTAATGAGTGAGAGACTTCCCAGCAGGATGTGGCAGATGGGCCCAAGTCAAAGAGCCCAGTTAGGAAAGGGGATTTGTCCCCAGGAGGGACCCAATACAGAAGAGCCTTTCCCAGCTGGCCCGCCCTAAATTCTGCATCACCCAGCTAGACCCACTGCCCTACGGGGGCAGCTTTGGGGAACAGAATCCAGTATTGGCCCCACTGGTCCCAGCTGAATGACCTTGGGCAAATCACCTAACCTCTCTAGGCCTCGGTTTCCAACTCTGTAAAATGGGAATAATGGTACTTACCTGGCAAGATTAATAATAAATTAGGTATTTAAGCATTCTAGCAGGTGCTAATCAAATGCAAGGTTTAAATGCATTCTCCTTCCTCTTCTGACTCCTCTAACCTCTGGTTTCTGGGGCTGGGACAGTAGAACACCATAGGGCTGGGGGTGGGGGTGGAGCTTACCCTGCCTGGGCAGGGCTTCTTACCATCTTACAGGGCACCTTGTCTCGGTGTTGGGAGGTGGCCAGGTCCAGGGTCAGCGCGGCCAGGAGCAGCAGGATCTGGTGGCTCATGGCTCTGCATAGGGCAGGGAGGAGAGGGGAATATGTAAAACCTCAGGCTCCTTCCCATGGCCAGCCAGCACCAGCCCACCCCCCCACGCCGCATCCCGTTGGTGCCTGTGCTCAGGAAGCCCAGACCACAGCTGCATTTGAAATTAAGGTGCAGGGAATGGGGCACCTTGTGAAGGGGTGGGAAATGGGACTGTAGCCCATCACATAGGGCCTCCAATGCCAAGCCAAGCAGCTAGGCCATTTCCCCAGCAAGAGCTCTTAAGCCGTGGGTGACAAGGTCAGAGTCGGGTTTCAGAAGACCCCACCTGGTGGAAGACATCTGGAGGGAGTGAGCAGGAGGCAGAGGGACCCTAAGGGCCAACCTCGGGGCAGGTGAGTGTGGAGCTGGGTCTCCCATTCCATTTCTACCCAGGCTGCAAGCAGGTCACCCCATCCTGGCTCCTCAGACCCCAAAAGGAATTCCTCAACCCCCCTCCCACCCTGGACTTTTATTTTGCCTATTTTCTTTTGATTTTCTGATTCTCAAGCCCCTGCCATTGTTTGAAGCTTGGGCCCAGAGCACTGACAGGAAGCCCCACCAGGAGGTCTGCCCTGCCCCCAGCACTGTGGCCGTGAACTTCCCCAGGAGCAGGCTGCCAGGCCCTTTACTTTCACTGAAGCCACCACCAGTGCCAGGGCAGGGGGACGCTCGGGCCTGCTGGGCCAGCCCTTGGCTCTGTGAGCAGCCAGGGTAAGGCTGACGGGGAGCACAGCGGCCCTCAGAGGGTGGAATCCCAGGGCTGCTGGGGGCTCGCTTACTGAAGACCTGGGTCAAGTGCTAGGAATACACAGGTCAATCTATTAATTTCTTTCATTCATTCATTCACTCACACTTTTACTGAATGCCTCTTCACATCTAGCTCTGTGCTGGGAACTGGGGACACAAATAAATGCACAGAAGTGACCCTAATACATACAGAGCATTAAGCAGGAGGGACACATAAAGCCCTCCAAGAGCTCTGGCCTCAGAGTTACTTATATCTGACTGTTTCCTCTGTCTCCTCCACTTACCTGCTCTGTGACTTTATGCAAATCACTTTACCTCTCTGGGCCTCAGTTTCCTTTTCTGAGGTTATGGCCAACTTCATCAAGTTTTGCTGAGGATCAGCTGAGATACATGCTATGCAAGTGCCACTTAGAGAGCCCTTCTTATGCACCAGGCACTCTCCTCCACGCTTCACATGCATTAACTCATTTAATCCTCACAACAATTCAATGGCTTGGCCCCATGATTACCATTCCCATTTTATAGACAGGGAAGCTGAGGCTCAGAGAGATGAAGAAACACATCCAAGTTCTCACAGCTCACACTTCTAGCTCCCAGGTCTGTGCCCTTAACTTCTGTGAGGTCTCCCACAGGGAATAAATGAGTGCTGAATGGTGACTCTGAGGGTGCTTTAGAAGAAGAGGCATTTATAGGACCTCTGAGAGCTGGGCCTTTACTGCTGGGACCCACTAGTGTTTTTATAATGAATTCTAAATCAAGATGGCTGCCCTGAGGTCCTTGCTCTTTCAAACAATGGTCTTTTAAGCCCCGTTTCCTGGGTTCCCCTAGGCCATGGGCCTCTGTCTCCGCAGCTGCTCTCTCTTCTCACCTGCATTACAGGTCAGACTTACACGGGAAATTTTGTTCTGCTGTTTAAAAAGCAGAACATCACCCCCCACCTGAAAGCCGGTGAACTCAGAATTGAGTGGAAACCCCTCAGTGGAGCCTTCGAGACGCTGGGGAGCATGCTGTGCCCCGCTGGCTCTTCTCCCCAACCTCAGCTCTTACTGTCCCCGCTCCCACGATGGGTTCTGGAAGCCTCCTCTCTCCTTCCGTTCTCAGGGCCCTTTTACACTGCCTCAAACCTTCACTTCTTCCCTTCTCTTGTGCTGAATACCTCCTCATCCTTTGGGTCTCAGCTGAGATGTCTCTTCCTCCAAGGAGCCTTCCCTGGTTCCCCAAGTCGGGCTAGGTATTGGCTCTTCCTCCAGGTTCCCACAGCCCCTGAGCTTCCGGTGAGCACAGCACCAAGCACTCTATGGTTTACCTCCCGCCCACCTCCACACTCCCACGGAAGTGCCCCTAGGGCAGAGGGGGCTCACTCGCCTGTGGGGCCCAACTCAATCCTCTGGGCAGGCCGGGGAGGACACTGAGAATTGACATGAGGAGTCTCGGTGACACGGTGGCACTGGTGAGAGCAGTTGCTCTGCTTAACGCTCCCTTCACCTCCCTGCCACACTCCTTTTTCCGTCAGTGGGTTCTGCCTGTTCTCCCTGAGAAACAACCCCCGGATCTGCCCACCTCCCTGCTCCATCGTTGCCACAGACAGACGCCACCATGACCCTGGGCCTCGACCACAGCAACACCCTACTCCCACCCTGACGCCTTTCAGTCTGTCCTACACAAAGCTGCCAGCAAGGCATTGTTAAATCATAGATCAAATCACAAATCTCACTGCTTAAAAACCTCCAATATAATCCAGGCTTTATACTTCTGTCTCTGACTCCATCTACCATTTGCCCTTCCCTTACCAAATTCTAGCGTTCGCCGTGCTTCTTGCCATTCCTCAAACACAGCAAATGCCTGCCTGCCTCAGAACCTTTGCCCTGCTGCTTCCTCCACCTGGAATGCTCTTCCCCAGGCCCACACATGTTTTATTGTTTTCGTCGCATTGATCATTTCCTGATAATTAATTTTTTATTCTATGAGAACAGGGGTCTAGTAAGTGGTGCTCATGAAAGATCTATTGAACAAACAGCAAAGAGAGGGGTAGAGGCTCTACTGAAATGGGCTGAGGGGTAAGTGTGAGTGGAGTACAAGGAAGGGCCTGCCTTGGCAGAACCAGAGGCATCGCTGCCCAAAAGGCCCCATTTCCCCCTCCTCCATCTGCCTAATCCCATTCCCCCCCACAAGGTGGGCATCAGAGCTTCCAGGAGCGACTGGATGAGATGAGAGTTCCCTGCACCCGTGGAACTCTGCCCTAGCATCTGACAGAAGGGGGCCCCTCACCGGTTGGCATCCATTGGCAGTGTCTAAATCAAAGTGTGTAGAATTTGAGGGCAACTCACTCTCAAGAGGAAGGACTGGGGTCCCTTAGACCCAGGCTCACATCCAGACTCCACTGTTCTCGCCAGCCTGTTCTCTGGGGCAAGTCCCTTAACCCTTCAGTGCCTCAGTGTCCCATTGGTAGAACAAATAGCCTGGTTCCCATCCTGCCACTGGCTATACCAGCCATTGTGATGGTCAAGCTGAGAATGCCTGTGAAGGTGCCCTGGACAGGCACAGTCTTTTTAGCTGGGACGATGAACACAGGGCTGGGCAGCCCAGGTGTGGTGTGCTGAGGATGAAGGCCGCAGGCCTGCAGACAAGAGGCCTCAGCAAAAGGAGGCAAGAGATATATTAGGACTCTGACTGGGAGAAGAATTGTCAAAGAATGTCTGTGTGCATCTGTGTGTGAAAGAGAGACAGACAGAGAGAGACAGAGAGTGATGGAAAGAGACAGAGAGGCAGAGGAAATGAGGTGGGGCAATGCCTACTATCATAAATAAGCCCATCCTTACTATTTAAGGATATTAGACGCTCTTCTAAGTACCTGACCTATATTATGTCACTTAATTCTCACAACAAACCAATAAAGTAGTTACTATAATTTCCATTTTACAGATGAGAAAAACTGAGGCTCAGAGAGATGAAATGACTTACCCTGTAGTTACCCAGCCCTTAAGTGTTTTGGGATTTAGCCCAGGTCTACGTGATCCAAATGCTGTTTTCTCCAGCAGTGGCTGAGCTGCCTGCCCCTTTTAGAACTGTCCTCAGTTTGCTCACGAGTAAAATGAGGCTCAGACAGGTGACTTACCCAAAGCTACACAGTCAGTAAATAGAGTTAGGATCAGAATCCAGTTTCTCTGCCTCCAAATTAAATGTTTCCGCAGCACCAGGCCAAGATCTCCCCCTCTAACCCTCTCTAATGACAGCCCCCCACCCCAAACACCAATATCCACCAGTTGACAGACTCACAGTGCTGGGTTTGTGGTGCTTCCCCCTTCCTCTCAGTCAGGATCACTGGCAGAGTGGGGCCCTGGGAGAGCTGCTGTGGATGCCCCTACGCTGCAGTGAATCACTAAGGGCAGACATGTGCATCCCACGGGGGAATTAGACCTTAACCCAAAGGAATGTGGCTGTGATGGTGGAATTTCAGGCAGCCCCGGGGGTGGGGGTGGGGGGGCCCTCACATCTTACCACCCATGAAGAAGGCTCGTTTTGGAGCCCCCTGGAGAGAGATGGGGGCCCCCCACCAGGCGGGAAAGCTCTCTGGTGGGGTGAGATGGAAAGCCCCCCACCCCCCGCCCGGCTGAGTGAGAGGATGGTAGGAGACCTGTATTCAAATCCTGGTCTGCCCTTGACTAGCTGTGTGTTCCCGCCAAGTGCTGGCCTTTCTGCCCTTATTTTCCCATCTGTCAAATGGGAACACTGGCCTCACCTCTCTCAGGAAAGATCAGTTGAGACAGGAGTCTGGGAGACCTCTGGGGCAGCAGGAGGGTCAACCCTGGGTCTACTCACGAGGTGGGGGCTGCGGCGGCAGGGGGTTCTTGGGGATGGGGATAGGAGTCCTGATGGACTGGCCCCAGCCCAGCTCCACGCCCTCTGCTCTAGAGCGGCGCGCGGGACAGCCAATTCCCCAGAGGGCTGGCCAGCCTCGCCGCTGGGCGGCTCCTACCTGGCTCAGCGCGGCCGCCGCTCCTCTCCCGGGCAGCCACCGCACATTTTGTGCAAACCTGCCCCCTGGTCCCACCCCGTGCCAGACCCCGGGGTCACGGCCCGAGGAGGCGCACGGTCGCTCCACTGCCCCTCGGGAGCCCGAGCCGCCCCCTCGCGGGTCGGGCTCCAATTTAAATACCTCTCCCGCCCCACCACGCCCCCCCCTCGGCCAAGCCGCGGGGTCCTAGCGCCCGGCCGACGCAACCCGGCAAGACTCGGTTTATCCGGAACCCACGAGGGAGTGAAGCATCTTCTTTACGCTGAAACCCCGGCTGGGAAGGGGCGAGTTATAGGGGGCGGGATCAAAGGGCCGGAGGGCGATGGGTCACTGAGGAAGCCCAGTGGGAGCGAGGACGGACCCCGGACCGCTGCACGTGCAGCTCGCGGCCCCGCGGGGTCCGGAGGGGCGGGTGGCTCTAGGAGCCGCAGGTCCACAGAGGAAATCCGGCCTGGCCCCGATTTTCCCGCTGCTGGCGCCGCCGCACTTAGAATGGTAGTGGGGCGGGGCGGGGGGGTGGGGGGGGGCACGTTGCGCAAACAGGAGAAGTGACCGGGGGTTAGAACGCGGAAGGAAATGGCCCTTCACTGGCCCTGGGGCGGCCACCGAGGGGGTTCCCCACACCGCGGCAGTCTCCTCTGGACAGTCCAGGCAAGTCACCGACCCTTAAGCAGCACTGTGAAATGGCACCTACCATCAAGTTTCCAGATTTCAGATCGAGAAACTGAGATTAAGGATGGGGACAGTAAATATAAATAAAAACCAATGGTCTGCGATTGATTAAGATCCCTATTTATGGGGAAAATGAGTCTCAGGAAAAGTTAAATGACGTATTCAAAGTCATACAGTCCATAAGACGCAGGGATTTGAGCCTAATTTGTCCATAAAGCTAATTCCAGGCCAATCTGAGTGCCCCTTCCCAGGCACCATTTTGCTCAGGTTGTGTTAAAGTGCTGTGCAAGGTAGCACGGGGGCATTACAGTCTTTTACATCAGAGTTTGGAGCACATCTTCCCCAAAGCCACCCTCTCTTCTAGATGCCTGACCCTACCAAATCACAGCTACCGGGCCCTGCTGGCTGTGGACTCGAGGCAGGGGGTGCTTGCCAGCGGAGGGTCAGGGCTGTCTTTGGGGTCCTGCTTCTCAGGGTAGAAGGGAGTTCTTCTTCTGCAGTGTTTCTCTTCCCTGATGGAGTGGCACAGTGCCCCGTTTTACAGATGAGAAAGTGACCACCCAAAGCTCGTGGTAAATCAGGGTAAAGCTGGGATTCCTGAATGCTAGACGGCTGCTATCCTCACTTTCTCCCATCTGGCTCACTGTGGGGATGGGCCTGGGCAGATGGGGCCAGCCCAGAGAAGACAAGCTGTGACAGCAGGTGGCCCGGGGCCTGCAGCCTCAAAGGAGGTGATCAGGGGAAGCTTCCGAAGGAGAGACCTAAGCTGCCATGAAGACCTGGGTAGGAAAGTTGCCAGATGTGGGCAGGGTGTCCACACCTCCGCGTTCCCTCCCAGCCACCTGAGGCCTCAGGTCTATGCTCACAGAGGTCCCAGCTGGTCATCCCAACCCCCCTCTCTGGGTTCTAGTTGCTCGCCTGGTCAAATGGAACCTCAGTTTCCCTTTCTGTAAAGCAGGAAGATGGTAGCTACTTCTCAAGGTTGATGCCAGAACTAAGTGTAGTGGACCCAGCCTGGGGCCTGAACCCGGTGGTTGTTAGATAACTTCTCACGGTGTTTGGTGGTGATTGGAGATAACCTCTGCTATACCTTGCAGGCTTCCTTTTCCAAATCCTTATCCAAGAGACCGATGTCCAGAAAGTGATTGTCAGCACCATCACCACCCCCTGCCCCCCGCCCCGCCAGCATGGGTGGGACGTGGCTGAGTTGTATTCAGACAATTCCCAGCTCTCCCACCCAACCTGATCCCCCTGGGCCAGCTGACCACTGCCTCACCCTTTCCTGAGCTGCTGCCAAGCAGCAAACGCTGGGCTGGCACACAGCACTGGCTGGGGCTGGAGGAGGGCAGGGCTGGCGCCATGGCTGGCTGGGGAGAGTGGCCCGCCTCCCCACACACCCCCCAAGGCTGCGTGTTGTGGTTACTTAGTTCATGGGGTTCTACCTCACTCATTGCCCAGATGGGGCTCCCCAAGAGTTAGACACAGTTGGGCAACCAAGTGTGTTTACCTGCTGCAGATGCCTCTTGGGACCATGGGGTGAGGGGGAGCTAAAAGCTGGGAACTCCGCGTGCTCAGCACCCTTTCCTTCATCTCTTTACTTCTTCAGCAGTCATGTTGCTGTGTGACTTTTTGCAGGTGCCTGATCTTTCTGACCTCAATTTGCTCATCTGCAAAGGAACGCTAAGAGTAGCACCTGACGTCCTGGCTTGCTGTGAAAACAAAATGCAATGATGTATGTAAAATAGCTAGTTTAGGGCCTGGCCCATGGGCCTTGCCCAGTAACCATGATCCCTTCCCTGGTGGGTCCCGGAATGCCCAGAATTTACCTTTGTGGAGCTCCCAGTATAGATGGGAGGCAGAAGAGGACATAGGATGATTGAGGCCTCAAAGGCCAAGTTCGGGAGTCTGAGCCTGATCTGAAGGAGGAGCAGTTGGAACTGAGCAGGATGGGATTTGCCTGGCAACCATGTGAAAGGCAGCTTTCTTTAAACGCCACCAAGGCCAACTTTCCGTCCTATGTTGCTTACTTAGCATCTGCTCACACACCTCCAGGAATGGGGAGTTCTCCTGGACAGCCCATCAATGGGCAGCTCACTGTGTTGGTATTTTTGTGGATATGCTACCAGTCCCGCATGCATCTATCCGTGAAAACAGGAGGCCGTCTTTTCCTGTGCCCTCAGGAGTACCATCCTGAGGTGAGAAAACCCTGTCAGGCACCAAGCCATGCCCCAGACCCCCTGGGAAGTTTTCACCTTAGGCAAAAGTGAAACCCAAGGGTCCCAAGTAGGAGCAGATGACCCAGGAAGGTAATGATGTGCATATCCTGTGTGACCTTGAACAAGCCGCTAACGTAGAACTGGAGTGAGAAGGATTGTGGCACCCTAGATCCCCCATGTAGTCTCCACTACTCGTTGCTGAATACCCACTATGGGCCAGTCCTTCATCTCATGTGGCAAATTAGGATAAGGCAGCTACAGGCAGCCTTCCAGTTAGTTACCTTTATTCTCAATTACTCCTAAGAAACTCAGGCTCAGAGAAGTTAGGTAACTGGCTCAAATCATGTAGCTTTAGAACCAGGAATTGAACCCAGGTCTCCAGACTCCCGGTCCAGATCTCAGTGCAAAGACGTGGCTGTCCTCACTCCTTGCCCCTGCCCAGCACCTCTGTGGGCCCTGGGGAGTCAGGAAGTTCCCTCGTCAACCCCTGTTGGGGCCTTGCCCTTTGGAGCAGAACCCTGGGTTCCTCAGTGCTTCTGCTCACCCTCCCTTGCTCCCTGGGGAAACTGGGCTCAGACCGACCAGCTACGGTCCACCTCCTGGAGGGGCAGGAGGAAAGGAGAGCAAGGACTGCTGGGTGTCAACATTTGCGGGGAGTTTGTGGGCCAGAAGCCAACACTGGGTGCTTGGGAAACAAGCACTCACAAAGGGACAGGTGGTGTAGCCCTCGCTCTGAAGAATAGCTGAAGTGTTAAATGGGAATAATGAGGGCTTGCAGAACTGGGCCTGGCGCCAGGTACTTTACTTGAATTATCTCCTCCTCACAGCCATTGACGAAGAGGGGACTATCACTGCCTGTCTTTTACAGAAGAGGGACTGAGGCTCGGAGGGATTCCGTGACTTGTCCGTAGTCACACAGCTGATGGGTGGGAACGGGCAGGGCCCAGCAGCCATTCCCATCCGAGTCCTCAGGCTCCAAGGCCCTTGTGCATGGTCAGCACCCGGCTTGGCTGTTTTTCTGTTCTCACTGGGCTACAAGTCACCCCCCACACTGTGGCACTTGGAGTGACCGATGCCGGGCAAGCAGGTGCTGGTGAGGCCCTGTGCACCCCAGCTGCCGCACCAGAGGCTTCCGGCTCAGTCCTTTCAGTGAGAACTGAAGCTGAGGAGTCTGGGGGCTCCTAGGGGCCCCGAGGGAGCAAGGGGCTGTTAGGTGAGAAAACTCAAGACTGGGTGAAGCAGGCAGGGCAGGATCAGAAGTGTTTCCACAACTCTACTCTGCTGTGTCACGGACCATGAAACCACAGCTCTCGGCAGCACCCAGCCCTGCTGGGAACCTGAGGGTTTGTCCCTTTGAGCCACACAACTTTTTCCTCCATTTTAACCATTTGAAGGTTAAATCCAGTGTACACTTTTCTTGATGATTCAGGGTTATTGGTATGGGTTTTGGTTATGGCCCATGATGTCATAAAGTGTCCTTTTCATGTTAACAACAACAGCAACAGAGCCAAGCCCAGGGTGAGACAGCAGCAGACACGTGAGCGCCTCTGAAGGCAGCGCGAAGGAGAGGAAGACCCGCCGCAAGGGAGCTGGATGACCTTGGACTAGGCGTTTTCCCTGGCAGGCTCCGTTTCTCATACGTAAAATTGGGCAGTCATTCTGCCACTTCGGTGGGGGAGGGGGGGGAGGTTGAGATGGTGACACCGTGGAAATCTGAATGGAGTACGGGTCAATATAATTATTGATATTGCCTTCCTCTTGGGGAAGTCGGTGGTTAACTGAAGGGCTCTGTGGGCAGATGGAGCACCCAGTGCTGGGAGACGGGCACGGAGAGGGAACGGAGTCGGAGGGACTCTGTCACTGCAGGCTCAGTGGTCCCAGAGCAGAGGTGGGCGCGGGCTCCTTGCAGGGAATGGTCGTGGCCCAGACAGGGCACCCCATGGCTGGGGCACCTTGCCTCCAAAGGTTCCCTTCCCAACTTTGGATTTTTTGCTCTGCTGAGCTCCCAGAAAGCTGTGGGCTCCTGTCCTTGTCTGGGTGGCCAAAACCCCGAGGGCTGGCAGAGCTTCCAGAAGCAGACTCGCATTCCCGGTGATCCCCACAGATAATGGTCACCTCTTGAAGTGTCAGCGAATCCCCACCCCCACCCAGT